CTCCTGCGGGCGGCCAAGGGCGACACAAGGGCCCAGTGTGCTTTCCGCGGCGAGGGTTTGGCAGGGGCTTCACCCGGGAGCCCGGTTCAGACAGGAGCCCTTTGAAGGCAGGATGAATCGGGCTCAATGTCTCCCTCCAGCTGAGGGCGGGCGGGGGCCGAGGCAGCTTCCAGAAGGCCTGCTGTCCGGGGCTGAGGAGGCCCACCTCCAGGCCTGGAGCGGGTTCTCACCGAGAAGGACGAGTCGACCGCGGCCCGGATGGCCGCGGCCTTTGCCGGAGGGAGCCCCGTGCAGAACAGTGGTCCTGAACCAGCGGCTTTGACTTTATTTATTTATTTTTTTTTTCAACGTTTTATTTATTTTTGGGACAGAGAGAGACAGAGCATGAACGGGGGAGGGGCAGAGAGAGAGGGAGACACAGAATCGGAAACAGGCTCCAGGCTCTGAGCCATCAGCCCAGAGCCCGACGCGGGGCTCGAACTCACGGACCGCGAGATCGTGACCTGGCTGAAGTCGGACGCTTAACCGACTGCGCCACCCACGTGCCCCAAGCAGCTTTGACTTTAAATATTTGTGCAATTATGTTGATGTGTACAAAATACACAAAATATAGCCAGCCCCAACCCCCCCTCCCCCCGCCAGTGCTCTCTCAGACTTTACTGCTTCGCATTTGAAACGGGGGCTTACTGGAAACTACCGGAATGTCCCTGGGCAGGAGAGCAGATAAGTAACTCGTGGTACGTCCATGCAGAGGCCGGCCACACAGCCGGGGAGAGTAAGTCTGTCCTCCCAGCGTGGATCCCCCAGTATATGTGACAGGCCAAAGACAGACGCCTGTCCCCAAGGGAGGGGACGCTAGGCATGTGCCTTGCTCGGCACAGGGGCCAATACTGGGGCTGCACCAAGGTGCCGGCCCACCCTGAGCCTGTCCCCCCGTCTGTCTCTACATCGAGCCAACTGTCCCCGAGGATGTCCCTGATCACTCCTTGCCGACGGCACTGACCCCGATCTGGGTGGCTGCGTTTCCCCCTTGGTTCCCCCGGACCCCTGACCCCAGCCCTGCCTCCGGCCTCCGACCTCTTCAAACCTCGCCCCGCCCTGCACGAACGCGTCTTGCCAAAGTGCTGTCCCCCGCCGCAGCACCCCCAGGGCCACCCCATCACCTGGAAAGCCAACAGCGAAACCCTCACCTGGCATCTCACGATCCCGGGACCGTCGAGCAGCCTTCGTCCGCCGTGTACCACCCACGGCAGCTACTTCTGTGTCCCCCGAACATGCCCGCGAGTGCCCACGTCTGGGTCTGCTCCTTCCAGCCCGGATGCCCTTTCCCACGTCCCCGTCAACCCGCCTCGGCCGCAGCGACACTCCTTCCTCCGACACGCGCTCCTTCCTCGTTGCCGGGTCTCCACCCTGAACGCCCCCATCCGGCTTTCTGTGACCGAGCTCTGCTCCCAAGGGATTCAGAGTTTAGAACAATCAGTTTGAGGGGCGCCTGGGTGGCTCAGTCCGACTTCGTCTCAGGTCATGATCTCATGGTTTGTGAGTTCGAGTCCCACGTCGGGCTCTGTGCTGACAGCTCAGAGCCTGGAGCCTGCTTCTGATTCTGTGTCTCCCTCTCCCTCTGCCCCTCCCCTCCCCTCTTTCTCTCAAAAGTAAATAAACATTTAAAAAAAAATTTTTTTTTAAGTGATCCAGGGGCGCCTGGGTGGCTCAGTCTGTTAAGCGTCTGACTCTTGATTTTGGCCCAGGTCTTGATCTCTTGGTTATGAGTTCAAACCCTGCACTGGGTTCCATGCTAACAGTGCAGTCTTCTTGGGATTACATCTCTCTCTCTCTCTCTCTCTCTCCCTGCCCCTCCTGTGCTCTCTCTCTCTCTCTTTCAAAATAAGTGAATACATTTAAAAAAAAGAAAAAACGAAAAGCGATTGGCTTTTATAACAACAAAGTCCAAAGGTAGGCCAGCCTCAGGTATGGCTGGATCCAGGGGCTCAAGCACTAACCTCCAGTGCCTTTTCTTTCTGTCTCATGGTTGTTTCTGTTTCTGTTGGCTTCATTTTCGGGCAGGCCTGGCCCTCAAGATGGAAAAGGCATCCCAACAGAGCCAGCTGAATTCTGTGGTTAGCCATCCCCAATTCTCTCTTCCCAACTGTTCCTGCCACCCTTCCGGGATTACCTCTGACTGGACCAAGTCGGGTCACCTACCGTTCCCTGAATCAATCACTGAGGCCACAGGCTTGGAAAATTCAGACTGGCCTGGTGGTAGCCAGATGCCCATCTCCGGGCCAGAGGGCAGAAGTAGTCGAACCCAGACCACGTGGTCTGTAGTGAGGGAGGTGTTGTCTCCCAGGGTGTGCAAGGCTGCGACTGGAGGAAGCACCCCTGGGATCTGATGTTCCCCCAAACCCGCCGAGCGGCTGTGGGAGCTTGGGCAGGTGCCTCAGACGTTCTGACTCTCAGATCCCGCTTCTGCAGAGTGGGAATGTTCCAGATCCACCCCAAAGGGGAGGTGTGGGCAGGGGAGGTGCTGATGTCCGTGAAAACAGCTGGCCTTCGGCAGGTGCCTGGGGAAGGTCCCCGGAATCGGAGGCCGGCAAGAACCCGGGGCTGGAAGTATGGCAGGAAAGGTGGGGGTGGCCGTGTGTTCTTCAAGGGGGCCCCCGGCTCGCCCATTTCACAAGCTCTCTACACGACTCAACGTGCTCGTCTCTCCAGCCATCGAGAGGTGGGGTCCGGGTCGTGGGTAAGGTGCAAGTGACAGTGTGTGATTTCTTAGGCTACATTACAGAGGGTGACACGGCTCCTTCCTGACCTTCGTGGGACGCTGTTCCGTGGAGACCCCATGTTGTCAGGAAGCCCGAGCCACCCGTGGAGGCCACGGCCCTGGCTGAGGTCCCCGCTGACAGCCGGCATCGACCGTAGGAGCTCAGCCAAGAACGGAGCTGACCTGGGTCCCCGGCACCTGCCCGGGAGACCCTGGCGGAGAACCTAGCTGTGCCCAGTCAGCACCAGAACTGTGACATAACAGTACAGTCATGGCTGTTGGGTTGTGCCACTGAGTGCGGGGCGATTCCCGCCCCTGTTCCACAGACACTTGGAAGAGGGGGCTAGTGGGGGGATTGAGGGCAAGAGGGCGCCACAGGGGCCACCGTGGCCTGACTACACGACACTACCAGGCGCTCCCAGGCCTGGGCGATGCTAGTCTGTCCGAGAGAGACAGAGAGAGGCAGGGGGCCACGCCTGAGTCCCCGAGTGACCCTCGCCGCTGGCAGAAGCTGGCCCGGCCACGCCACTGGGCACTTGCTATGAATTTCCCAGGATGAGGTGCTGTGGGGACCGACTTGCCCTCCTAGAGGCTCAGGTCCTGCCCACTCTCGCTGACTTGTGAATGGAACTTGTCACCTTCTGAAGGGAGGGAGCAAATTAAATCTTTGACGGTGAACTTGCTAAGTGCTTCGCATCAACCTGGCCAGAGAATCTCCTTTTGCTGAGATTAGGAGGCTGAGTCACGGTGGGGTCCCCCATTTCTCAGCCCCCTTCAGCCCTGGGTCTCCTAACTCCAGGCTCGTGGGGCTTCCTGCTTCCGATTTGGTCCAGTTACCCCGGGGGGGGGTCTCCCCCAAAAGAAGGGAGATGGTGTTGGATGTGAATTGTCCCCAGGGGGAGTCTACACGGATCAGAAGATAATCCAGATAATCAAATCATTGATGCAGACGAGGAAACATTCCGCCCTGGACCTCAAAGCGGGGGCTGCCCTCCGGGGGCCTTGGGGCATCGGCACAGGGCTCCGCCCACCCGCCCTGTGCACCCTGGGGAACAGGTCCCGCTCCCTCGTGCCAGACCTGGGATTTGCTCAATGCTGCAAAATGTCAACCACTTGCTTTCTCTTTAGGCAAATAAACGAACTTAGAGAGCGTAGAGGGGCGCCTGGGTGGCTGCGTTGGTTAAGCGTCCGACTTCAGCTCGGGTCATGATCTCACGGTCTGTGGGTTCGAGCCCCGCGTCGGGCTCTGTGCCTCGTTGGGCGTCACCTTCCCCATCTGTATGATGAGGGGCAGGGAAGGAGTCGTAGAACAGCTCCCAGCAGCCTCACGAGGGTGAAGAGAATGGACGCACAGAAGCCAAGGGGCTGGCCCGAGGGCCAGGTCTTGAAGAAGGGGAGGCCGCCGTCCCAAGTGGAGACTGGCGTGAGACTTCGGAAAGGGTGTGAGAGACGACCAGGGAGGGTCCCCGCACCATTTGCGGAAGAGAAGACGGCCGCCTGCCCCCGGGGCCGGAATCGGTGACTTCTTCAACGCTGTGCCATCTGCCTAGATAAGTTCTCCTAAACTTCCTCTGACGTCGAACTCCTACTCATCCTTCAAGACCCAGTTCGAGTGTTTCCTTCTTTTCTTTTTTTCGATGTTTCCTCTGGGGTGTGGATCCAAGTCCCCTGGCCCGAACGTCGACGCTCTGATGAGGCCATCCATACACGCTCACCACTCGCGCACACACCTGCCTGCACACACGCGCGTCCCAGAGCACAAACACACACACACACACACACACACACACACACACACACTCACGGGTATACCAGCCGTACCGTCTGCGGGCCCGAGCACGAGTGCACATGGACCTCCGTGGGGGCCGTGCACGCACACGCCTCCACACCGAGGCCTGCACCCACGCACCAGCTCTGCACACACGTCCCCGGGACGGCGCAGGGAGCACACACAAACACCAGGGCGTGTGTCCTCGCACACGGACGTCCGCAGAAACGTTGCCACGGACCGTGAACGCAGTCGCAGACCGAAAAGTATGGAGCTCCTGCCTGCGAACCGGGACGTCTGGGACTTCCCTGTCCCCCCACACACCCACAGACACCCAGAGGCACACGCACGCACACACATGCACACCCACGGACGCGCTCCTGTCCTGCGTCCCCGGGGCCTCACTCTCTACTCCACGGCTGCGGCGGTGGGGCCCGGAGGGCTGACACCGGCTCCATCCGGTCTCGGTCGACGACGGCCTCCTCTGGCCTCGTCTAGGGCGGGGGATGGGAACCCCCCCCCCCACCCCGGGCCCAGCCCTCGACGCCCTGCTCGCGCTCCTCTTATCGCCCGCCGGCCCAGTGCCTCCGGGACCCTCCGGGGCCGGACGCAGAGCCGACGAGTCCCGCAGTGCCCAGGTGAGACCCAGAAGCGTGGGGACAGGCCAGGGCCCCACCCCCATGGCCCCACCGAACAGAGAGGAAGAGGAAGTACAGCGTGGGCCTGTGTGGGGGCGCCGGCCCAGACAGCCTCCTGTGCAGCCAGATGGCCGGCCATCTGCGGTCCCCTCCTCCTCGCGGCGTGGCCAGACCGGGTGCCGGGGCGAGCCTCCTCAAAGCTGGCAGAGCGTGTTAGGGCCATGTGCTGCCTGGCAGGCTGGGGGCTGCGCCCCGGGGAGAGGCGACCGGACGCACGGACAGCCGGGCAGAGGCAGGCCCGCCGGGCCCAGCTGCTGCGGCCCCTTCTGCGGCCCCGCCTCTCGCCTCATAAGGTAGGCGCCTCTGTTCTGGAAGATTCCAGGGTTTGGGGTGGCGGGGGGGGGGAGGGGGAGAACAGTTCTTGATCCAAGCACTCGTTCGTTCTCTCATTCACTAAACACCGGGTGCCTACTAACTGCTCGGCACTGGAGATAGAATAACGAACAAAACAAGTATTTGCTGAGCACCTACTGCGTGCCAGGCACTGTTGTAGCCCTTGGGGTTACAGCCATAGAACAAGACAAGTAGACATTAGACATCCACCGTGCGTCAGCTGAGGGCAACCATGATCAAACAAGCGTTTATTGGGCACCCACTGTGTGCCAGGAGCCGCTCTGGGCCCTGGGGACACAGCAGTAAGCCATCTGTTAAACACCTACTGTGTGCCAGGCACTGGGGGCAGGGGGGTGACGGGAAGGATGTGGTCCCTGCCCTCACAGAGCCCACAGTCCTCAGATGAGCGACAGCGCATACCTGCCGTGATGCCACAAGGAAAACAGGGCTGAGGGAGGGACGGTGGCGTTCTTATCCATTTGATCTTTCTAGATGGGGCGATCGGGGAAGGCTTCTCAGAGGAAGGGGCACGGAGAGAGACCCAGTTGGAGTAAAGAGCCAGCACTGAGGCTCCCAGGGGAAGGGACCGGCCCGAAAAGACCCGAGGTGGACAGGCTTGGTGTGTCCAACACCCCGGGGAGTCCAGGCCCCTGGGCTGGCACAGGTGAGCTGGGCAGGGGCAGGGGGGAAGAGGGGACGAGTGTGGGGAGGGAGACCCCAGGCGTTGTGGGGGTGGGGGCCCAACCCCCACCTGTGTTTGGGAGGCTGTATTCGGGCTGGTCCCAGTGAGTCTGGGACCCGAGCGCCGGGATGATTCCCATTTCACAGTCGGGAAGGTAGAGGCCCAGGAGAGGCCGGGGTCACCTGAGCCCGGGGCCCGGGGCTGGCGGAGCCTCTGCGCACCGTCCCCAGTCGACCCCTCCGCGCATCCTGAGGCTGTCAGCCTCGATGTCCCCCGGGCTTAGTCACCCCGTACAAGTGACATTTATTTATTCCCTCACACGGGAGCGTGGCGAGAATTAATTATTTCGTGCCAAGGAAGCACTTTGAACATGATAAGTGCTGAGTATGACCGCGACATTACAGAGAACAGTGCTCCCTCCTCGCGCCTGCC